TATACTTGCCTTTTAAATTGTCGTTAAGAATCTTCTAAAAGTTCTAAATTTAATGAAATTTCACTTATATTAATATTTTCTAATTGATTTAAACACAATTTACAAATAAAACATTCGAATAAAGTTAAAAAAACAATAAATTCAACAAACTTTACAAGCCTTCCTATATGAAATGGTAAACCAAAACAAACCACAGTCGGACTACCACGCGTTGTTGCCAAATTTTTACTTCATGGCTTGGAAGTAAAGGTGGCTGTGGTCGAACTCAAAGCCATCACTGCCACCACCCACACGCAATACGACGCCAACATAACACCCAACACAATATACTAGACCACATCTTCTTTTAAGGTGCAAATATGTGAATTTGACCATTTTTGAAAATATTGCTCTTCTGCAAATTAAAAGATATTGTCTGTTTCAAATTTATTTCTTACTTTTTAAACTATTAACTAAACAATTTTCACTATAACGCGTTCAAGTATTATTGGCTAAAGATAGTAAAAATAATTGAAAAATGTCTTGATTTCTGAAAAAAATGTAAATTTTAAGTATGATCCGGGTGTTCAATATATAACTTTATTTTACTTTGCATGTTACTTATATACCCCAAAGGCAAGTTTATTGTTTTTCGACCCACCCTAACGCACATGAAGAGATTTTTATTCAAACCGTAACCGAATCACGCTAGTCTAGTCTTCTCCATACTTGTCGATCTTCGTCCAGTAAATTGTTCCATTTTTACAAATTAATTGAGTTTTTACATCAAACAACAAAATTTTTATTATTTCAGATGAAAATTTCGACGAGAAGTGTAGTTTTATGTGACGAAAATTGTACAAATCAGATGCCTAAATTCTTCAGATATATCAGTTCATCAGAATTGAAGAAGCAGCTACCGAAACAAGTACAAGAAGTTTCTGAGGTAAAGTATTTTTTAAATACGATAATCTATTACAAAAATGTCGAAAATAAAATGTGTATCATTTTAATGCCTTATTTTAATCTTGATATAACAGAGTAAATGTATATGTAGCATGCAAGTAATAATTTTCTCTCTTGTACATTTGAACCAAATAGACTTATATCTACTGCACTTGACTGACGGTCTGACACCCATATGTATATGTGCCATGCACATGCGTGACAATAAAACTACTTTTTGACGGTTTGAACATTACCATGAATGAATCTGTGTGCAAGCGTTTCAGTTTTTAAACTGTTTCAAATGTTGCAAACAAGTTTCATTCATATATTTCATTTCTTGCAAATTGCAAAAGTGTATTTTCATTGATGCATTCGTAGAATTTACGCCGTGAAGAAGAACAATATAAGCTGAATCATGGGATCCCTTTGTGCACAAATTTGAAGCTTTTTGGAAAATGTATCAAGAATCACTGCTCCGGACGACATAATTTAAGCTCCGAATTGGATGTGTCTGATAACTTGCCCAAATCTGGAAAGATTAAATTCAAAATTGTAAATATTCTTGATGTAGCATTGTATTCGATAAAGGTAAGATATGTTTTTATGTTCTTTTTCGATTCACTGACTAAATAATGAATTTGTGTTTTGACTTACCCTGTAGTGGATTTAAGAGTATTAGCAAAATCGATGATTGTATAAATTTTGGCAATCATTTAAAACCTATGGCTGCAAAAGGTCGTTGATTTTGTACCTCGTTTTAATTATAGAGGACGTTGAATTTGTTATGATTTTCATTGAAATTTGGTTATAATTTTTTAAATATTCTGTATAACACAAAACAACTTTGAGCAAATACGCAATTTAGTATACTCTAACCAAACCAAATATATTTTCCTCAAGGCATCTCGTCACAGTATTACCGTATTTATTTTAGTAAAATATGTATATGAATGTTACAAATATAAAGTTACTTTTACGAAATAATAATTTGTGTTATGAGAAGGTACAAGTTTTAAGTAAGTATAAAACAAATATTTTCTGTTACTTTAAATGCAGTTAAATATTGTAAATTAGCACTTTCCAAATTTTATCTATTAGGACCTTATTATTAGGTGTTAGTTATGTAAAATCTATGAATTTTTATATAATTTCAATGCATTTCTATTATATACGGTAATTTAGTTAATACTATTAATTTTTTATATCATTTTAATCAATATTATTGTATATGCATTTAATTATTATCTTTAATTTAATTAAAATCTACGGTTTTTTTATATAATTTCAATGTATTTTTATAATATGTTAGAGTATGAAAAAACTGTAGACTTGACAACTCTGACACCATTTAAGCTTATGTCAAATGTCATATAAAAGCTTGGTTAGGTTAGAGTGTACTAAATTGCGTATTGTCCCAAATTTGTATTCTTGTAACTATGAAGCAGATTTTAAATTTAAAATAATACAGGGTGTTTCAAAAAGGTATGTCATAAATTAAATCACGCATTTCGGGGACAAAAATAAATTGATTGAATCCAACTTATCTTAGTACAAAAGTGTACACAAAAAATTTACCGCCCTTTAAAGTTAAAAAATAAGAATTGTTTTTTTGCATTATATCCTAAACTCTTTGTCATTTTGTAATAAAAATGGACACGTTACTTTCTTGTTCTGAAAGCATTTTTCATACAAAAGAAACAACAAAATCTTAGCGCACAGAAAAATTTTAAGGGGTGTGTACAGCCCTAAATCCCCCCAAACTTTTGAGTACGTTCAAATCAAATGAATTTTGTGGCATCATTAGTTTAACACGTTATTTTAAAAAAAATTTTGCCTCATCACTTTTTTCAAAAAACAGTTTTTATTGAGATACGGCTCCTCTTTTCATTAATCTTTAAAAAATGACGTGCAAATAAATAAATGGCTTAAATAGATTAACAAGTAAAAAAAAATGTCTATAACCTCTATAAATATGATATTAAAATAAATGTTCAAAATTACCCCATTTTCTTCAATACACATTCGGTATCGTTTTAATAAGGAAAACCGAATGCGCTGAACAATCATATTTTTCTGACGAAATTGATTTGCAGCTTCAATTATTCTAACCCTCTGTTGTTTGTCCTCTATTGTTACAGAATACACTTTCTCTTTCATAATCCCCCAAAAGCAAAAGTCCATGGGGTTTAGACCTGGACTTCTGGGTTGCCAAGCAATAGGTGCGTCAGGACTCCTTCCAATCCACCGACCAGGATACTGCCTGCAAAGATATTGTTGTTGTTGTTTGTTTGTGTTTAAATGACTGCGGACACTAAATCCATTCGCCAATCTTACAATTTGAGGTGTAGTGTGTGTGTGTGTGTAGAGTAATTGTCTTGATACTTAGCAAAGTCAACGTCATTGTCTTTGCTAAGAGACGCTAATTGTATCCGAACGTCTGCGGTCCCTCCGCAGACGTTCGGATACAATTACACTTCATTACTGTAATGCGGTGGAGCGTCATTTTGTAGAAACCACATATTTTGCCTTAGTGCAATATTCACGTCTTCCAAATACTCTTGTAAATCGTTTGCCAAGAACTGCAAATAATTATGACCATTTAAATTGTTGGAAGAAATACCGGTCCTATTAGATTGTTTTTCACAATTCCTGTCCAAACATTAATTTTAAAAGTCCTTTGGTGATGTGTCGTTTTTTTGGCGTGAAGATTTTCGTCGGCCCAAATGTGCTCGTTGTGATGGTGTTATTCCATTTCTACTGAAGTTAGCCTCGTCGGTAAACAAAATATTTCTAATAAAATTAATATTTCGAGTGTTTTCCATTAACAATCAATCGCAAAATCCAATCCTTTTAGGATAATCTTTGACCAATAACTCTTGAACCGTTGTTAAGTGATAGGGTTTAAGCAGCTGATCCTTCAAATGCCTCCAAACCCTTACGTGATGATCATAACGCCTTGCGGCTGCTGCACTGTTTCCTTGACATTCACCTACGATATTCCTGATAGTTTATTGAAATCATAATTTAATCTGATCCAACTTACCCAAAGTTAAATGCATATCTGCCATTTGCTGAAATGGCAGATATGCATTGTAATATTGAAATATTAAAATTTTTAATATTAATCTTATTCACACAATAAATGATAGCTTCAAATTATTGACTACTATTGATGGAACTGTTTGTAATTTCTGTATCCGTAGAAACTAATTTTATGGCCAACTAGGAAAAAACTAGTTTTTCGAAAAAGTGATAAGAGGCAAAAAAGTTTTAGAAATAATGTGTTAAACTAATGATGCCACAAAATTCATTTGATTTGAACGTACTCAAAAGTTTGGGGGGATTTAGGGCTGCACACCCCCTTAAAAATTTTATGTGCGCTTAGATTTTGTTGTTTCTTTTGTATGAAAAATGCTTTCAGAACAAGAAAGTAACGTGTTCATTTTTATGTCAAGTAGTTTAAAAATAATGCAAAAAAGCAATCTTTATTTTGTAACTTCAAAGTGCTGTAACATTTTTTGTGTACACTTTTGTACTAAGGTAAGTTGGATTCAATCAATTTATTTTTGTCGTCGGAATGCTTGATTTAATTTAATTCTTACCTTTTTGAAACACCCTGTATACAGGGTGTTATTAAAAAACATATCTTTGATGCGGTATAGTGTTATAGAAGACTATGTATATTTGTAACTAATTTTAAAATGTGAAACTTACATTTACCTCCTATTTTTGTAAATCCCCTGAATCCCGTGAGAGAAACCTCCTACTTTTTAACGGTTAATTGCGAATTCCCAGGAAAGGAATTTTGTTATCCATTCTTACTATTTTCTTCTTGAGAGTAACTTACCTGTTTTTAAACTCGTTTTTAGATACTTCAACACGTCGACTTGGATAATAAACTTGTGGAATACGATACTCCAGACGACGTTACGGCAGATCTTAACGCTACGTTAAGGTCAGGAAAGAAAGCAGTTCAGAAACCTAAATTGGGACATCACTACGTTTTCTACAACATGGATGACGAGGAATTTAAGTACAGCAGATGCGAATTGATAGAGATATTGAAAGAAAATATGGTTAACATCAAACTGTTGGACACTGGAGTTGTTCTTAACACAATGTTAACTCGATTGTACAAGTTACCTAAGGAGTTCCGCTGCAATGTAAGACCTAGAGCAGGTAAATCCATTTTAATAGTTTATAAGTAGAATGACACACAGTTTGATATTAAACAAAATGTACAATATTAATAATTGTGAGTTTACTCTACAATAACTCCATTTCGTGTAGGCTAGTCAGAACTATTATCGTAAATAACCAAAATAATTGAAGACTTCTACAGTGTAGGTAAAAGTTTATGGTAGGTATGTACCTTACGAGAGATGGAGTGAGAAACACCTGTTTAAAAAGAGGAAGGTATATTAGGTCCGCCCTTTATATCGTCGAAAATGCATTAGGGGAAATAATAAAAGAGGGGAAGTTCAACGTTGCCAAACTTATTGGTTTTATTTTGTAGCGTGTTTTATTTAAAGTGTATAGAAAAGATTCTGTGGTACGTCCCTGTTGTTTTTGCCAAGAAATCGATCGATTTAATATAACTACGGATAAGTTAAATGTAAATATTTCAAGTTTTTTTGACGAGATTTTTAAATGCGTATATTTCTACCGATTCAAAAGTAAATATAGATTTTTTTGTCTGTGTTTAGATTCAAATATCGAACCTTTTGTTACAAGTCAGGTAAAACTCAAGTTTAAAATACGCACGTATTTTGTTAATTTGTATTATGTAAATTTATGATGCCCCCTGATAAAAAAAAGGTTTTATTTGTTTTCTTCGTTTAAAAACGCAATAAACATGAATTCCCCTAATATTAAAGTTGTTTTTCGTTATTAGACGAGGGTAAAAAAAAAGAATATTTGTTTGTTTAGGCAATAAAGGAACATTTAAAAGTTGTTTTTTTTGTCGATAAGAGGAGGGAAGATTTGTTTTGGTTTTAAGTGGGTCGGCGACAGGCTGCAAGACGGAAGGGAAATTTTTAGAGATTCTTGAAAAATGTAACGAAGCAGAGAAGTCGACTGATAGATTTCAAACAGGGCAGACATGTGACAATGGAGTCGACGACTAGATTTGAAGCAGAGCAGACGTGCTACAATGTGAGTCCAAGAACCTATTTGGAACGGTGGTAGACGCTTTTTGCGGATGTGAAATGTTGGGCCATTTTTGAATCAAAGAGGATTCAATTTCTTTTGAAATGTCTTAGGACCGGTCAATGATAATACTATCATATTTGAATAAATACCGGAAGCTTCTAAGAAGTATGATATAGGATGTCCCCGTAGTCGGCTTATTTCTTCCACAAAATTCCTGTTCCAATCGTTTTGCCCGGGAGTGTAGAACTAGTTCCTGATGGTTGCTGCCTTCCAGTTTTGAAAGTTTTGTCCGAGTAGCTTTCCCAGAGATGTAAAGTTTCAAAGTGTTTGTATAAAAAAAAAACATTAAGGTAACAATTCAATATATTAATTTTTCAAAGTAAAGACAGATATTTTTTGGCTAAAGTAATAATTGCTTTCATTCTTTGTCATCAAAATTAAATGTGATACCTGACAGCAAGCTTAATTTGTTTTTTTGTTATGAAAATTTTAATTTGATTATTATGTAGAAACGATATTTCATATATAAGGTTAAATTTATATGTTTTCATTAAGAAGGATCCTCAATTTTTGATAATCTAATTGGCCATAATATAGTAAACAAAGAACATGTAAGTTTTTGTTATTTGTATTATATTATATGATATGTTTCTTTTATAATATGTATTTTTGATCTGTTTTGTTTGAGACAAGAATAAACGTTCAATTTGTTTCTCTAATCTATTTTGAGTTTTATTTGAAAAAGATATTTTTTTTCTATATTTTTGATGTTATACAATTATTTCCCTAGTTACAACTAGTGGTTGTAATAGGTATAATTGGGCACCTCAAGTGGCGCCCTATATTAAATTTCTTGAGGTGTTTCCGTTTATTTTCATTCTGTTTGCCCCAAGAGATTTGTATAAGTACCCCTTTATTTCTTTTTTTTGTAGTTGCCCCAATCTAACCCCCAATATCTTCAACTTATCCACGACCCAACTCTCCAACAACCAACTGAGTGTCGTATGCACTTGTTTCGATTATTTTGTTTGCCCAATCTTGTCCCCCATATTCTTACCCTGTGGTAAGCAAAATAGTCGTTACAATTTGACCTGTTGTCTTTTTAGCATTTTAACAATGTTCTAAGATAATCAAATTTAGGCGAATTCATTTAAATGGCAGCTTACTGTTTTATTTTAAATATGCTACAAATTTCCTTTAGAATGAGTTTAATTTAACATTCTGATTTCTAACATTTTTACGGGCAGACATGTTAAACACACAAACAGTTAATAAAGTAAATATTCAGTACTCACAGAATAAATTCACATTTACGTTAAACAAAACACAAACTCCAAATAAAAATTATGTTTGCTGAATAATACAAAACATGAATCGGGGACTCCCATGCGTTCATCAATCAGCCAATCGCGTCCAATGCTGGACATAGGCCTCCCTCAGTTCTTTCCAGTGTTCTCTACACTGGGCCGCTTGTAGCCAGTTTCCCGCTACACGTTTAATGTCATCGGTCCATCTAGTCGGTGGTCGTCCTCGGCTTCTTTTATAATTTCTGGGCCTCCATTCCATAATACGTCTTGTCCACCGTCCATCTTGTGTTCTGGCTAAGTGCCCTGCCCAGTTCCACTTAAGCGTCGTGGTTCTTTCGATGACGTCTTGAACTCCTGATCTTTGCCTGATTTGTTGGTTTGTTATGTGGTCTCGAAGGCTCACGTTCAGCATTGCACGTTCCATGGCTCATTGTAACTCGTTTATTCGCAGATTTTTGCGTGAGTGTTAAAGTCTCTGCTCCATAAGTTTGTACAGGCAAAACACATTGGTTATAAACCTTTCGCTTGAGACACATGGGAATTGAACTTTTTAGAATATGGCTTAATTTGTCAAATGCTGCCCATGTTAGACCTATTCGCCTCTGTATTTCATGTGTTTGATTGTCTCTGATTATTTTGATTTCGTGTCCCAGATATTTGTAAGTGTCTGTTTTAATGTGTTAATATTTCAAATTAAAAATAATCGAGCATTGCAAATTTCAGAAAGTCGAGCATAAAAGCTGAATCTTCTACAATTGTGCATTTTTTGAAAATACAATTATTACGCTTGTACTAGGTAAATAATTTTAACTAAGAAAAAGACTTCTTAATGAAATATCTTTAACGAACTATCAATAAAGATTTGAAATCGACAATGCAGATCAATCGAAAATCGGAACTCATCATCAATTAGAATACCTACATAGTTATTTTATTTTCAACGTCAACCGATCGCCCGAGTGTTCACCGTCCCGAAAGAGTCAGGAAGTTATTTTTAGTTTTGTAGTAGTCTCTCAGATCAACTAATTGTCCTCGTCGACGTGAAGTGTTCGTTGTTCTTCTGTTTACGTCTACACAAAACGTAGTTTTTTTGAATCAACCATCAACTAGTTGGCTTCCCAGTGAGAAACCGTAGATTCGTTAACGACAAATAAACGGTTGAATAAAACAGTTCGGTGATTCAACGCTCATCTCTACAGAACAGAACTAGTTCTGTGATATGTCATGCGTATATCACGGTTTATAGTTCTTTCATAAAGCATAATAAATAAAGACAAAGACAGTCAGTGCTAGTAAAGCATTACGATTACATAATATTTGGTATTTTTCAAATAATATCTTTGAAACCATACTTTCATTTAGATTTTTTGGAGGTAGTGAAAATAAAAATTAGTTCTATAAAAATGAAACAAAAAAATATAAAATAGTATAAAATTTGTTCTATAAAAATGAAATCAAATAAAAAATAATTCCAACACTACTGTTTAAATTAAAAATAATTCCAAACAATTAGAAATTCTAAACCAAATTCTTAGGTAATTAAATGTTCAAACAGACCACCAAATTGTAACGAACAGTAACCAAATCTATTATAAACTCCATTCGCTTAGCTCGGGCATATTTTGACAGATTCATTGTCGGAAACCTACAACACAAAAATTCCTACTTCTCAGTATTAATAGCTCAAATATACTACTATTGCAGACTTCTTCCTTTGAAAATAAAATTTTCCCTGTATATTTAAAATATAATATTTGAGTTGTACAATTTAACATATTGTAGTAAATATTTGTGTTATTCGCGTTGTTTATTTTAGCTAATATATTTTTATTGTTTTATTATTTTTGTTTAATTCTTTGTTAGTTCTATTTAGTTACTTAGTTAGATTTTTAATTTTATTATTAGAGATAGTCAAAGTTTTCCATTTGTCCTATCAGATAATGCGTTGGTAAGTTTTTCTTAAATAAATATAAATTTGATAAATATTCTTTAAAAGTTAATATTTTTAAATGAGTAAGGAGTCTGTTAAATTACAAGGTAATCAAACTACACAAAGATATATTCAAAACACCATCCATTTTTTTTAAATTAATTGCTCATTCGGCGTAGGTTGATCATTAAAATAAATTTATGAAATTATGTAAATATGTTCTTAATAACAAAAACATTTCAGTTAACATCCAGTTCAGTTTGACATGGCGTCAAAAATTAAATAAAAGTTACGGTAATCTAGTTTATATTGTTAAGTTGCTCCAAATGTAAGCAACCAACTTAAACTTTTTGTTAGCATTTAGCTGGAGTTTCTTGAGAATATTTTTAATAAACGTTTAATATTTTTACAGTTAATTTATTATTTTTTAAATGTGATGATAATAATGCTGAATTAGCAATATTTCAAATGATATTTAATCACAGAACGTACTTAATATTGTGTTATATAATCCTCATAATAAAGTACGTTAGATAAAAAGGTAAAATACCGGGTCGTCCAAAACTAGTTTCTGATAGGGATAATAGAATGTTATGATCTTTTTGAATTATATTTTTGATTAATGATATTTTTGAATTATAATATAAAAATTATGATATTTTTTATCTAACCTACTTGATTATGAGGATTATATAACACAATATTAAGTACGTCTTGTGATTATATATCATTTGAAATATTGCTTATTCATCATTACTATCATCACTTAAAAAAAATAATAAATTAACTGGAAAATATTAAATGTTTATTAAATATATTCTCAAGAAACTCGAGCTAAATGCTAACAAAAAGTTTAAGTTGGTTGCCTACATTTGGCGCAACCAAACGATATAAACTAAATTACCGTAAATTTTTTATAAAATATATTTTTTATTCTTCTTAAGATGTTCTTCTTCTCCCTAGTCCTCTCTTTCCAAATACCTTGCCCTGAAGAATGAGTTGCAACAAGCCATATCTCTGTTCATTCCTCATAACATGGCCAAGATATTCTAGTTTGCGCTCTTTGATGATGTTAATAATCTCGCATTCCTTGCCTATTCTACCTAGGACCTCAACATTAGTCACACGATCCACCCATGAAATTCTTAAGATGCGTCTGTTTTACACCACATCTCGAATGCCTCAAGTTTTCTTAAGGAAACTTCGGAAAGTGTCCAGGCCTATACTCCGTATAATAAGGTAGAAAATACATAGCATCTAATGAGAGAGATTTTGGTAGCAAGTGGTAAATCATGACTTCTGAAAAGAGACTTCATTTCATTTCATTTTTTATATATAATAGAAACTTACATTTTTTATACATGCTATAAATTTCTAAGTCATACTATAAGTTTGCAAAAGAGGTCGACGAAATACTCTAATGAATTGCGCTATGAGCACGTGTGCTTGGTTGTATAATAATTTCCAGCCACTTCTAGTCTGACAAAAAGTAACTAACTTCGTAAAAACATAATTACTAAAATCACTAGACACTTCGGACTGGGATTAGCGAACCGAGTATACAAAGCATTTCTCATGGCGTTGAGTTCATCTGCCGATATGTTTTGGCTAAGTTGGATTATCTTTTCCTTCAGTTCCTCTAAGTTGGTGGTTCGCTTCATGCCTGTATAATTTTGCTTTTAGCATCCCCCAAAAATAAAAATCTAGAGGAAATTTTTATGTTAACAGTTATTATAAGATCTTTACGCTTTTTCTTAGAAATAAAAGATTGGCCTTCATCATGTTTACCTACTTCTATAATGATTCTAATTTGATGGAACTTGAAATTTGACTAGCAATTCCGCTTTCCTAAGCAATAACAAGTGCTTCGTCTTTCTATCCTTCGCTCTCTTAAACTATTAACGAAGGTATTTACCGCTTTTTTCTCTAAAACGTTAGCAGGGACTTGTGGATAAACGTACTGTAACATACGAGCAACAATTGCTTATAGTCTGCTTAAGCTCTGGCTTGCACTCTGCATTGTGTGTCAAAGTTGTGCTTTGTATACTTGTATCTAGGTATCTCTACAGCGTTTTTCCAATCGATTGAATAAAGTTTGATAATAGTTTTCGTTGCCCTTAGGAATTAATAATCGTAATATGTCAGCGTCTCATAAAGCTGCAGTCAAACAAACAGACTTTTCTTCTAGCCAATGGTTGGCTTTCGCAATACCTTCAATTTGCTTGAGATAAATGGACCAAGAATGGACTATAGCCAGCGAGGATTATTTTTTTTTTCAGGACTCCTTCTGCTATTTTTCCTTAAATTATTAGTTTTAATGCTTCATAAGTCTTGTCTTTCGCATTTTTGAAGTTTTCGAAAGATTTTTATATCATATTCTTAATACTTTTTGATTGGACATATGATCCTTCTTCCTATCCATCATTATAAAATCTGTATATTAAGTTAGTTTATGGTATTAATAACTGTTTTTATTTTTTAGTGATTAACGCATATTTGGCAAACTCTATTCCCCCCTTCCAAGACGAAAGCTTTTCATCTAGATCGATATATAAATTAATGGAACTAATGGAACCCAAAGATTATAAAAATCTGGTTTTCGCCGGTGAAGTCCATTTGCAGTTAGACCAAACATTGTGGTTGAAAGACGTCTATGAGGAAGTTGTTCTTAATGACACTATTATTCCGGGATTCCAACTATCACGAGAAGTGATACAGCGAAAACTGGTGGAGTACTATCCAGATCAATTGGTCAACCTGTACAAGCTTTGTATAGATGCTAGTATAGTTCTTCCAAAATACATGAAGGAAAGAGTTGCTGTGTCTATTAAGAAGCAAGAGGTCAAGAAGCAGTGGGCGTACCTGGACAGGGATAAAGTCAACGAGGTCACATTCACATCGGCTTTTTCTCCTAACGAGATCTTTGTTCGACTGAATAAATATAGCGATTTGTAAGTATCTAAAAGTTAATCAAATTAAATTAAACATATAATTTTGATGTACTTTGTTAAAAAAAATACCATCTACATTCAGAAAATAAGAACATAGAGTCTAGGCTGGATACAGTGGACAGTTACAATTAGTATAGTCACAGTAAACTTGTGACTAGTGATATTCCAGATAATGAGATAAGGTGTTTTGTGGGTGTGCTTATTTTAGTGGCTATATGACATGGTGTTACCAAAAATATATATGTATTGGGAAAATCGTGGTGACAGTCATAATGAAAAAGTCGGTGGAGCTCTATCGAGGTCCTATATAATAAAAATTCTTTATATCTGTGATAATAATAGTTTGGACAAAACAGACAAGTTTTCTAAAATACAGCCATTATATAATGCATTGAATACAAATTTTTTAAATCACGCTCCTTTCGAACAAGAATATAGCATAACGTATGGTCCTAAAGTTTTGGGCAAAATTTCACCTGGTCTGATTGAGAAGCAAAATGCATTTAAGAAAGAAGGTCATGGAATTGAAATGTCAATCAAGGTCATCATCAGTTATTGACATTTAATAAACAAAGCAGAATATTTTGGTTTGTGCTCTGCAAAATGTCTTATAAAATTCGTCGAGGTGTTTATAATATGGTTGGGCGAATGTCGAAACGAGATATTGTTAATATTTATCGAGATCAAAACACATGGAGGTATAAACATAGATGGACACAGCAATAAGATACCTTTAACACACAATGTTTTGAAGCTTCGATAGAATGTGATGCTGATAAGCGTGCTTGAATTTTTACTTGCGGGTAATTATTCAGATTTTAAAAATTGGAAGTAGTAATAATGTATAAAAACACGTTCAAAGAATTTAAAAAAACGAGAGTTTAACTATTAACAAATCACCTCTTTATAGAAAAATTAAAATACAATTTTATTTGCTTTAAAATTAATACAATAAAATATAGTTGAATTCAAGTTAATTTTTAATAGGTATCAAAATAATGCTACAATAAAAAATCTTTATGTTTTCTCCTAAATTTGCTACCAAACTAGTTCGATCGTCAATATTATTTGGAAACCTACATAGAAAAATAAATGAGTTTTATTCATTTCACTAATTTATTTGCATCCATGAGAAATATTAAATTAAAAAGATACTAAACAGATCTTTTTTAATCAGATGATGTCTACTTACAATTTAAGAATGTCTACTAATTTCATGAACTTATATCTTATTCAATACATTAATGAACATGAATAAACCCAATGGTACGCTTATTAAAATGTAAACAAACACGCTTCCTCATTTCCTCATCTTAAATAATGTAAATTTTATGTACTTACAAATGAAATGAGAGATCGGGATGTAAATATTTCGTTTATTTTATTTCACTTTTCACAAATATCACTCAAAATACAGCCAAAATATCGAAAAACAACTTTTACTAAAAAGTAAACAAACATGGAACAGCATTTGAAGTTTGACGTAGATCCATAAGACAGAGGAATGTAAACAACCGTTGCCATTTATAAATAGTTTTCAGTGCTTCTACATATAAAATAATTGATTGATATATATTATACGCTATTATTAAATGATAATGCACACTATGTGCACGCTTGATATTTTGATTACAATTAAATATATTAATATAACCAATAAATTATTATTTTGGTTTGATAGCACCTGTAGAGTATAAAATACGGAGTAATATTTTCAGCGACTCGCGAATAAGAAATTTTAAAACAAAACGTGATAACAGTTGAAGGTGCTGAGAATGTGACCTACTCAAATAATTTTGACTACACAATTTTATGTAAATAACTGAATCCATCTGTGTTTATACGTCCATGTCAAAACATAAGCAAATCGACAATTTATCGCACAATCAGAGAATGTGAAGAAGGGATACCATGTGTTAACTTGCGTAAATGTGGCTGACCGCAGATTTTGAACCATATAAGAGAGGCAAGACTGATTGAAGCAGCTAAGAACAAAATATTTTTTATCGTCCATCACGATCAACTTGTTGACGAAATGCACTCGCCTTAACGCGCGGCAACATCTCGGAATTATCTCTAATTGATCCTCTGTGTATTTTGGAGCTTTCCTTCTTTTCCGGTAGATAATATTGTTACTCGATAGGGTCCTGTATACTGTAGTCTTTCCAACATGAAATCTTCTGGCCAGTTTTCGCTGTGAGACCCCAATTTTGCTCTTAGCTGCTTCAATCAGTCTTGCCTCTCTTATATGGTTCAAAATCCGCGGTCGGTCACTTTTACGCAAGTTAACACATGGTATCCCTTCTTCACATTCTCTGATTGTGCGATAAATTATCGATTGGCTTATGTTTTGATCTCGATAAATATTAACAATATCTCGTTTCGACATTCGCCCAACCATATTATAAACACCTCGACGAATATAAATTTTATAAGACATTTTGCAGAGCACAAACAAATATTCTGCAATGTTTATTAAATGTCAATAACTGATGGCATTTCAATTCCATGGCCTTCTTTGTTAAATGCATTTTGCTTCTCAATCAGACCAGGTGAAATTTTTCCCAAAACTTTAGGACCATACGTTAGATGAAGCTATGGTATGATATTTTGGAAGGCATTCTACGAAACAAACCCCCAATGCAAATACCAGTACTTACTTACTTACTTACTCCGTGGCGTTACAACCCTTCGTGGGTTTTAGCCGACTCGACAACATGCCTCCACTGTTTTCTGTCTTGAGCAACCTCCATCCAATTCTCCACGCCCATAGTGCTTACGTCTCCTGCTATATTATCTCGCCACCGGAGACGAGGGCGTCCGCGTGGTCTCCTTCCAGTTGGGACTTCCTCCCACACCAGTCTTACTGTTCGTTCGTCAGAATGTCTTCTGAGGTGTCCTGCCCATTGGAGTTTTCTGGACTTTATTTCTTTTATGATGTTGGCGTCTGGGTAAAGTTCTTCAAGCTCTTTATTAGTTCTTATCCTATATTGTCCTGATGCTTCATCAAGCACCGGACCAAAGATCTTCCTTAGGATTTTTCTTTACCAAACACGTAGTCTCTCTTCATTTGCCTTTCTTATCGTCCACGTTTCGCTTCCATACATCACAACGGGTCGTATGATTGTTTTATAGACCTGTATGTTCGTACGTCGTGTTAGTTGTTTTTATTTTATAAGGTTTTGGAGGGCAAAAATACATCTGTTGCCGGCCTGAATCCTGTTGTTTATTTCTTGTGATCCGTTATTGTCTTCAGTTATTGTTGTTCAAAGATACTTGAATTCTCTAACGCGCTCAAAGTTAGTCATCGATGGTAATGTTCTGACCGATTCTGTCTCTGCTTTGGTTATTGCGGCTCATATACATATATTTCGTCTTGTTTTCGTTGATTTGGAGCCCCATCTTCTCTGCTTCCTTCTCAAACCTTACGAAAGTCTCCTTCATCATTAATCGCGTGTTTCCTATTAGATCTATATCGTCTGCAAATGCCAGTAGTAAGTTTGGTCCTTCTCGATGAAATACTGTATTCGGTTTTTCGATTCTTGCACTTCTGATTATGTGCTCCAGAGCTACGTTGAAGAGTTGTGGTGAAAGTGCATCTCCCTGTTTTAGTCAATTGTTTATTTCAAATGTCTCCGAGTATTGTTGTCCAACTCTCACCTTACATCATAACCGGTCCATACACATCCGTATCAACGTACTAGTTTTTTTGGAAAGCCAAGTTCCTGCATCGCTGTCCACAGTCTGTCCCTACATACTCTATCAAATGCTTGTTTAAAATCTATGAACATCTGATGAACCTCACGATCAAACTCCCAGCATTTTTCCATTATCTGTTTTATCGTGAATATCTGGTCAATTGTAGAGCGGCCCGGTCTAAATCCGCATTGATAATCTCCAACGATTTCTTCTGTGTATGTTTTGGTTCTTTCTAGCAGGATGTTTGCAAGGATTTTGTAGGTGGTGTTTATTAGTGTTATAGCAAGTGTTATTTATAAGTGTTATGCAAATACCAGTCCCATACAAAAATTTGGGCCTTGGTTCGTTGTTTGTTCTGTTTTATGCAGATGTGCTTCAATCATGCTGGCCAAAAACTAGATTCCACCTTTTTTTTGATAACTTCGCATCCATGCATCTATTAAATGAGTTAAAAACTAAAGGTCTTTTCGGTACAGGTACAATAAGGGACAATAGAACACTAAAATGCCCCTTATTCGCTCTAACAGCCATGAAAAAAAAACAGGAAAGAGGAACTTACGATTGCAGATTAGATAAAAACACAGGAATTGAGGTTTGTCGCTGACACGACAATAGTGTCGTTACAATCGCATCTAATTTTTGTTTAGTAAAATCACATCACCTAATCAAACGATTTTCCATCAGGATAAGAAACACATTTTTATTTCTCAACCAAATTTTATAATTAAATTAAATTAAATTCTTTATTTTCTTTTTAACAAACATAGTTTGTATAGAATTAGTCATAAATATACATTGCTACAAACTAAACACTAAACTAGACTAAACAAGACATGAAATGAATTTAAAAGCTAAACGAAATACAGCTAATATCTAAGATCTAAAAAATTCTTCGATTGTATAAAACACTTTTTCACATAAAAATTGCTTAAGATTCCTCTTAAATACATTTATTGAACTGGTCGACTTTACAACTGTGGGCAAATGATTAAACACCTGTAGCCCGTATACCCTGGGCGACTTAAATTTAATGTTGCCTTAACCTTTTGAAAATGGTATATAAAGTTTATTACAATATCTAGTATTTAAATTATGCATATCACCACTCGTTTTAAACTGATGTAAGTTATTAAAAATAAAAACACATAATTCAAAAATGTATAGACACGACAATGTTAAAATTTTATATTTTTTAAAATATTCTCTACAACTAGTTAGTCGGGAGACACCAGCGACACAACGCAAGATTTTACTGAGAGTGAGAGAGAACGTAAGCGAAAGGTAGGGAAATAGGAAGGAAAGAGAAAGAAGAGAAAAAATATGACCTATTATTGGTGCTTAATTTTGTTAAATATTTATCGTTCTTTTATACATGTATGTTACGTTTAAAAATTATTCTATATTTTTAGGTTATATCGTTTGCAAAACGAAATCCAACAAAGTTTAAAAAAACCGAACTACCCTAAACTCAAAGAAGTCAATGTCGGAGGAGTTTATCTAGCCAAAGATCCTGAAGGAATTGAATACGGTCGCGTGATTGTCCTCAGGAAGGAAGAGGACAAAGCATTATGCTTTTACGTAGATTTCGGCGACGAGTCTGTTATTCCTATGGAAGAATTGAAGTATATCCAAGACGTCTTCGTCACCAAACTTCCATTCCAGTGCATCCAGTGTCGTTTGTATGGAATAAACCTCTTAGGAGACACTTGGGACGAAGAAGTTACCAATATTTTCTACAACTACGCCTTCGAACCAGGCACTGATATCTTCAGGTCTCTCTATGTACAAGTTTACGAAAAGGAAAACTGCGATTCGCTTACTCCAGTGAAATATGCCGTCGTTTTCAAAGACGGATTTGGAGATAAAAATGTCCTAGTTAATAAATTACTGATTGAGTGTGGTATGGCACTTGAAAACCCTAAGGAAAAATTCAGTGATTTTGAAATTCCTGTAGTTGAAGTTGAATCGCTCGAGTCCGATGAAGAACTGGATACAATGGCGTACATCTGTAATAAGACCGATGAGCTGCAACAACATTTGCATGAGGGCGGTAAGTACTCTATGTTTAGAATTATGTCATATTTGTTTTCCCATTGGTCATTTATCATCATTCCCAAATATTTAAACGTTTTCACTTCATCGATTGGAGCATTACACTCCGCAAATTAAAATTTAATTGATTTTAAATGTGTTTTTAAAAAACCAAAGAAATAATTTATTGTGATTGTGTTTTTGAATATTCAAGTAAGTGATAACGACAAATTTGCTGTTTATTTATCAATCCAATAATTATAATTCATATCCAAAACTAGCACAAAGTTAATCATGCCTAATACATCGTTTTGTGCTAATTGTTCAAAGCTAACTTCTACCTCCGATAGAAAGCTCCAGTGCGATGGCTGTAAGAAACCAATTCACATTGCTTGTACGGATCTGTCGGTCGATGATCGAGTTACGAGGCAAAAAGTACGTGGTATATGTATACTATGCAATGCATGCAGTTCAAACATTACGAATATTACTGAAATCAAGAATCTACTTGTCGAGTTTAAAGCGGACATTAAGAAGAAAATTGAAGATTTTGATATTAAACTATCTGAATTCAGCAATAAATTAAATCAGCTCGATTCTATTACAACAACAGAATTTACCGACAGCATTGTCAATGAAGCCGCTGACCGCATATCTCGTTCCAAAAATTTTTTGGTTAGAGGCGTCCCCGAACCTACAGGAGACGCACAAAATAAAAAAGATCATGATAAGAATAAAATACATTTAGCCCTAGAAGTCATTGGATGTCAAGAAAGTCCTGTTACATTTTATAGAGTCGGTAAACCAAATGAAAATAAACGTTATCCCCGCATGATAAAAGTGATAATGAGTTCTGAACACCACACTCGAAAAATTCTTCGTAACAAAAATAAACTTTTGGAAAACAAATCTACTGAAACGTATTCTATTATTGATGACAAGACACCTATGCAGCAACTTCGTTTAAAGGAACTTCGTACTGAGCTTGAAACTCGTAAAAATAATGGAGAAAATGACCTCACGATTAAATATGTGAATGGCTGTCCAAAGATAATGAAATTTCGCTCATAATTCTTCTGCACTAAAATTTACGGATTGGCTTCTTATGTATACTAATCTAAACTCTCTTATGTCCAAATTTAATGAATTTATAAGTACTGTTCAACTTTTAAAACCTCACATTATTCTCCTAACCGAAACGTGGCTTAATTCTTCTATCCCCGATGCTATTGTAAACATTGATAATTTTACTATATTTCGTAAAGACTGAGGTACTCGTCGAGGGGGAGGGGTATGCATCTATTTAGCAAATGAAATTACGAACACTTTTTCTATCAGTAATAAAACAATAGACGTACCCGGTATAGAAATTATCCACTTACTTATTACTAATAACTCTTTCATATTTAATATAGTTTGCATATACCGACCTCCTGATACAGTACTTACTCAGGACAATATGCTTATTAGCAAACTTGAGGAATTATCATCCCTTGAAAATCTCATTGTTGTTGGAGATTTCAATTTTCCAGAAATAAGCTGGCCCATTATTTCCAAAACTGATACTATCAATTCCCAAAATTTGTTTAAAAACTTTATCATGAACTCAAATTTATTACAACTGATAACTGAACCTACAAGGTTTAGAGCCAACCATAATCCTTCAATTTTAGACTTATTTTTCACAAATGACGATGAATTAATTTCTTCACTTGAAGTGTCCTCTCCTGTGGGTCTTTCTGACCACTCGCTTATTACTGCTCACATTCAATTTAGTTTAACACCGCCTTGCAAAAATAATTTCGTAACGTATGCCACTACTAATTTCATTGATGTAAATTCAGTTTTATCCCAGTTAAACTGGCAATCTATTTTTTCTAATCACTCTGATCCATCGTCAATGTGGGACTCTTTTCTTCATACTGCTATTACAACAATTTCTGATCATACAACCGAACGGCAGGTATATAGAAATCGACTAAAACCCTGGATTAACCTCTCAGCTACTCATTTAATTCGACATAAGCGAAAGCTTTGGCGAAGATATAAACTCACTAGTTCCCCTGATGATTTTTTCGCCCACCGTAATTTTTCTAACCGAGTCAAACAATCTTTGCTAAAGTTAAGAACAGAATTTGAAGAATCTATCATTGCAAGTGGTAATAGTAAAAAAGTTTATCGGTACATTCGTACATCTTTATCTTCTAAAGTTTCCATACCATTGCTTCAAAAAGCTGATGGGTCTTTATGTTCTTCGAATAACGAATCTTCGGAATGTTTATCGTTATTCTTTTCTCAAGTTTTTACAGATGAATCTAACGATACCATTCCTCAAATAATGTGCCCTCGTCTGTCTAAAACTCTTGAAAATATATCTTTCACACCGGATGAAATTAAACATCATTTAAGGAAACTGCGAAATAATTCATCACCTGGATTAGACGGACTCACCTCTTTTTTCCTCAAACAATGTGCAGATTCTGTCGCCATCCCTATATCTCTCATAATGACTGCTTCTTTTAATCAAGGTTCCCTCCCCTCGTCCTGGAAATTGGCTTCTGTTACTCCTGTATTCAAGAAAGGTAATAAACTTGATTGCAATAATTATCGTCCAATCAGCCTGGTTCCTATTGTCGGCAAGGTCATGGAATCGATTATTTCGGAAGCTATGTCCGAGTTCCTTCTTCAAGAAAATGTCATCCCTCACCAACAGCATGGATTTATCAAAGGTCGTTCAACGATCACAAACTTACTTCATTGTGTAAATGATTGGTCATTATCTTTAAACAATCGGAATCCTGTCGATGTAGTTTACTTAGACTTCTCCAAAGCTTTCGATCGTGTTCCAAAACGTCGATTACTAGCTAAATTGGATCACTATGGTATCCGCGGAAAGTTAAACATTTGGATACAAGATTTTTTATCCGACAGATACTTCAGGGTTCGTGTTGGGGAAGACCATTCACTAGATAAGCCAGTCAAGAGTGGAGTTCCACAAGGATCAGTACTTGGACCGCTACTTTTTTGTGTCTACACTAGTGATCTTCCGCTCATTGTATCCAGTAAGGTTTCCATTTACGCTGATGACACGAAGTTATATGTGAATCCAACTATTAACCAACATATTCTTCAACAAGATCTTGACGCAATATTCAAATGGTCCTCAGAATGGTTACTTCCGCTTAACATTGAAAAATGCGTTGTTTTACATATCGGCAAAAATAACCCATCACTGCCGTACTTTATTAATGGACATCCTTTAAACTCTGTAACCTCACACAACGATCTCGGAGTGATAATTAATAGTGACTTAAATTGGTCTGATCACATAGTGTTGGTGTGTAAACGTGCTAACTCGAAACTGTTTTTGATCCGTAAATGTTTTGCACGCATATCTCTAACCTCTGTTAGTAAACTTTACTCAATATACGTTAGACCTATTCTTGAGTTTGTCGGACCAGTGTGGAATCCAGATCTTAGTCGCGATAAAATCCTACTTGAAAACGTTCAGCGTAAAGCCACAAGACTGGCATACGGCCGTGTAAGACCTAACTATGAAGATAGACTATTCATGGCTCATCTTACGACATTCGAGCAGCGACGTCTTCGAGGTGACCTAATTATGTCCTTCCGTATTTTAAAACATAATTTTGGGAACCTAAACAACATATTCACTTTGAATGAAGACGATAGATTAAGAGGCCATCGATACAAATTAAAGAGGGAACAAACTACTGCAAGGTCCAGGGCGAACTTCTTGCCAAACAGAATCTTTAATATCTGGAACAATTTGGATCATGACACCATATCGGCAGCTAGTGTTAACATCTTTAAAAATAAACTTGACAGAACTTTATTTTTTTTTTATATAGGATAGGATATTTTTTCTCGGACAGCATTATTTATTTATTTATTGTGTCACAATTCAATTTTTGTTAATTTGTTTAACTGTACTGTGTAACTTTATAATTAGTATTAGTTTTATAAGGATATATTTTATTTTTGTTCATTTTTGCTTTTTGGGCATAATAGGAGCTCGCTCCTCTGCCCTTATTTGTTAAATAATAATAATAATAATAATAATTATCTACTTGAAGTTGTATTCTTAAAAGTGCGTTTTTTCTTATTGCCATGCATTTAGTTTTTCCAGCATTTATCTCTAAACCATATATTTTTCGTACGGTGTTTATTTTATTTTAACATCAACTGCATATCATGTTCGTTGTCTGTTATTATCGCGGTGTCGTTGGCGTAACGACTATTATTTATCGGAAACCCGTTTACCTTTATTCCACACTCAAAGCCTTCTAGTGCCTCTGCAAAAATGGTCTACACATAGAGATTGAAGAGCATACGAGACAAAATACACCCCTGTCGCATCCCTCTTAAAATTTCAAATTCTTCTATGTTGGTTGATTTGTTCAGTCTCACTTGTGATTTTTGATTCCAATAGAAATTCTGGATAACTCTTATATCTTTCTCGTCAAGCATTTTTATCATTGCGTCATGTTTTACGGTGTCAAACGCTTTTTCATAATCGAGGAATGTTATGACTATACCCTTTCGTTGATCTATGCAGTTTTGTACAAGCGTATTCAAGCAGAAAGCTGATTCACGTGTACCCAGTCCGCTTTTGAAACCAAATTGTGTCTCACCGCTTGGCTTAGATCTTCCAGCTTTCTGAACATTCTTTTGTGAAGGATGCGAAGAAACACCTTAAGCAAATGGCTCATTAAACTTACCAGTCTGTGGTATTTGGCATTTTGTCGCTCTTTGTGGCTTATTCCCATTTAAATAGTAATTACTTTAAAATGCCACAAGAAAATAGCTCCAGAACAATATCAAGAAATCTAAATAGGATTTTCTTAATTAAAAGTCTCAAAGTACATTTAAAATAGCGTAAAATTATTAATTTGTTACTGAGCTAAAAAATATTTATATTATTTTTATACATATTTATTTATATTTTATTAGACTGAGACAAAAATTGGCACAAGAGAGAGAGAGAGAGAGAGAGAGAGAGAGAGAGAGAGAGAGAGAGAGAGAGAGAGAGAGAGAGAGAGAGAGAGAGAGAGAGAGAGAGAGAGAGAGAGAGAGAGAGAGAGAGAGAGAGAGAGAGAGAGAGAGAGAGAGAGAGAGAGAGAGAGAGAGAGAGAGAGAGAGAGAGAGAGAGAGAGAGAGAGAGAGAGAGAGAGAGAGAGAGAGAGAGAGAGAGAGAGAGAGAGAGAGAGAGAGAGAGAGAGAGAGAGAGAGAGAGAGAGAGAGAGAGAGAGAGAGAGAGAGAGAGAGAGAGAGAGAGAGAGAGAGAGAGAGAGAGAGAGAGAGAGAGAGAGAGAGAGAGAGAGAGAGAGAGAGAGAGAGAGAGAGAGAGAGAGAGAGAGAGAGAGAGAGAGAGATTGCATTGAAACGTTCCATACACATTTTATCAGAATTAAATAATTCTTCTGTAACAACAACTTAAAATCAAAAATTACATCAAAGTATTAGGATGTAAGTTTTCTTCTTTGGTAATCTGTGAGGTATTCCTTAAAGGCTATAGCGGGATAAGATGGTAAAATCTGTACTCGGCTGTATTATTATTTGGGATTATACACTCGAGTACATAACTAGAAACCCATTTAGCCCAATTTTTAGCTCTCTAGGTAGCCCCAGTAATCCTATATCGTAAGAGATGTGTTTTTTCGAAAAAAACTGAGCGATCCTTTGCTTAACCTCCTCGGACCCAAACATGAATTGCAGTGATTTTTTCGTTACCAATCAAAAGAATGTTACAATTTGGGATTACTAATCATACAAAACAAAAATTTAAAAAAACCCTTTTGTTTTTTTTTTAAATTGTAGTATCACTAGTGATATTTTGGGTCTGGAATGATAATATTCACTTATCATTTTTATTGATGAAATTTAGTAAAACAATTTCTATTGACACTACAACATAAAAAAGCTTTGCACCGGGCACATTTGACAAACTTCAAGTTGCAGGCATCCAGGATACCTGCATTTTGATCTTGATTTTTGGCTTTCATTAACGAATTATGACAGGTATTTCGCTTCCTTTGACCGTAAGCGTTTATCAGGGATTGGTGCAATCTTTCTTCTTTTTCTGGTTACATTTTCATTTTCTTCGTCACTTTCGTCGGATGTGGGTTCACTTCTGTTCTTGGAGTACAAGAGCGACGTAGCAAGCGAAAACTTAAATGACAGGTAATCTTGAATATGTTTTTTGCGAGTTTCTGCAACTAAAAATCTTTCTTGTATTGCAGCCAACTAGCTGCAGCTAGCAGGAAGTATATGCCTGTTTCATTGATTTTGAGAAGGCATTTGGCAGAGTGCAGCATAATCGACTTAAAGAAATTTTATTAAATAAAAACATAGACAGTAGAGACATTAGAATCATCTGTAACCTCTATTGGAATCAAACAGCAAAAGTGAAAGTTGAAAACGAACTGACCAAGGATATCCAGATTCGCCGTGGGGTCCGCCAAGGGTGTATTTTATCACCCTTGTTATTCAATTTATACAGCGAAGCCATCTCAGAATTAGCGCTTGCCGAGATCAGTGAGGGCCTTATAATAAACGGTGAGCCACTTAATAACATAAGATATGCTGACGACACCGTCCTTTTGGCAGGAACACTAGAAGAACAGCAACACCTTGCTGAACAACTTAATATATATTGCAACGATTATGGACTAAAAATCAATTTGAAGAAAACTAAGTTCATGGTATTTACAAAAGCACAAAACATCAAAGTTAAGCTAGTACTAGATAATACAGAAATTGAACAAATATCTTCGTACAAATACCTTGGAGCATGGATCACAGAAGATACTGATCAGACAAAAGAAATAAGATGCCGCATTGAAATTGCGCGGTCAACTTTTAATAGAATGAGAAAACTTTTTTGTAATCGCGATATCAATATATCGCTCCGGATAAGAATGCTTCGATGTTATATTTTCTCTACCCTCTTGTATGGAGTTGAAGCTTGGACACTTAAAAAATCCAACATTAAAAACCTAGAAGCATTCGAAATGTGGTGTTACCGACGCATTTTGAAAATATCATGGATGGATCGCAAAACAAACGAACAAGTTCTCGAACAACTAGGAAAACAATGCGAAGTTTTAAATTCCATAAAGATCAGGAAATTGGAATACTTGGGGCACATCATGAGAGGTGAAAAGTACGAACTACTAAGGAACATAATGAAGGGTAAAATCAAAGGTAGAAGAAGCGTAGGAAGACGTAAAATCTCGTGGCTACGCAATCTCCGTGAGTGGTTTGGATGCAGTTCAATTGAACTATTCAGGCGAGTAACCAATAAAATTATAATTGCCAGAATGATTTCCAATCTCCGATAGGAGTGGAACTTGAAGAAGAAGAAGAAGCTGCAACACAAAACTCAATAAAGGCGTAAATACATCGTATTATCCATTATATTTGTTCTACTGATCATAGGGTACTTTGGCATAATCCTATCCAGCAAATCTACTCCACCCATGCTTTAATTGTAGTGCTTAATCACTGCTGGACGATTTATTTCTATGTATTTTTTATCTTTTACTGACCAGCGCCTACACAATCCCAAGGGTTCAGCTCCCAATGTTGATGAAGCCATATATATATATATATTGGTTTGGAATCAAACCATTGTGTAACAGCTATTTTATTGTCTTTGTTAACGAGCATATCGTGGTAGCCTCTTCCTGGTTTTCATAAATCTTTATCTGTCTTAAATGTCACATCAGTTTTTGGTATTCTATTTTTCATTAGTGCCCCTGTTACAGAAATCTTCCGTGAATGTAATGCATCAATCAATATTTTTGACGTAAAATATCTGTCAACAAAAATAGATACTCCTACAGGCAGAGTATCTGTGAGTTTTAAAACAACCCTTCCCCCGATATCCAGCCGTTCTGGTGTCAGTACCAAGCTGGATTCAATGAATCGGTCTTTACCTTTATACATGTGAAAATCAAGTGGAATCCCCCCGTAGTCGTCATGACAAAATTATTCAATCCTACAGGGTTAGGTTTTCCTTGCACAAACTGTCTCATTAATACTTTTTCATCAAAGTGAATCATTTGCTCATCGATTGACACTTTTTCAGTTCTTTCAATATTCAGACAAGCCCTTTGAATTTGATCCAACAATGGTCTTATTTTCCAGAATCTATCATTTTCTTTAGTCTCCTTAGTTACAGAATCATCGTCAAAAATTTTGAGTCGTGTTCTAATGGCAAGAAAACGATTTCTTGACATGTTGTCTGAAACTATCGGTACCCTGATATCCATTGTACCCTGATATCCATTTGCCAAAGCATTCGGATTCTTGGTAAGTTATAAATACCAATATGCAAGCAGCATGCAATAAACGTTTTTAATTCTTCTGTAGAAGTCGTCTTTAGGTCACTGATTTCAGCGTGATCATCACTCCTTTCTCCCCCACTTTCAATAATTATTTCATACTCATCCAGATTTCTCATGAGATCATTCTCATAAATGATTCAGGAAGTATCTGTTTTTTTGAAATGATTAATTTATGTTTTAGGACCTGAAACAAGCGGAAGAGTAGGACAGGAGTTTGCTTATGACTCAGATGAAATGGAATTGGTTGTGTATGGTGATTTAGACGACTTTTTAAAACAGGTAATAATGATTTATATACAAAGGTTCATGCGATCGAAACTAGCTATAGATTAAAAGATTAAAAAAAAAGCGTCTTAAAACGATCTAGAACGAAAAACTTCGACTGTTTGGTACGTCTCAGATAAATGTTTTGGTGATGGTATTGGATTGGTGAACCTATGCTGTGTAGTGTTAACATAGTCAAATGCTCATTTCCTTTTTTTGTTTATTTGTTGGTGGTTTGGTTGTTACAGTATTGAAAAATATATTGGATATATTTCAATGTATATCCAATATTAATATATTGGAACAAAATTTGAAGGCAATTGGAAGAATACTTAGATGACTGCGGCAGATATGTCAAGAAATTTAAAACCAAGTCAGACGTGTTAAGACAGGAATTTGAAAATTGACAAATGCCCAATTATGACGTTGAAAAGTGAAGCCAGCCTTTATGACAGTAGTCCAACAACATCTAGGATTAAAGTTTCCACTTATGATGGAAAAACTTCGTGGGCGAACTATCTTCGTCAATTTAATGTAGCTATTATCACAAATAATGGACCGAACTCTTTAGAGAAAAGGCTACGATAAATACACTCAGGCCATCACTCTATAGAACGCAACTTAATAACCGTCGGTAAAACCCTGGGAAATAGCTGCAAGAATCCTGCACTGATCTCTGTTTGGTAAGATTCGCTTTGCCAACCGCAATCGAAGACATGGCTGTCGACGTCGACGCGTTCGCTGATGGATCAAGAGATCTAGAGCTGCAACAGACACTTAAGTTGACTTGCAAAAACACTATCAAATGCATTAGAGCTAAAGAAGAAGTGAAGAAAAGCACCTTACGTGGTTTTTTAAGGGCGTGGCAAGCTTCTGGCGGTTCATATGCTGAAAATTCACAATACGGTCAAGTAACGGTTGAATCCATCAAATTTATACTTATTTAAACTAATATTAAAATATTTTAACTTTACGTTTTTTGTGCAAGTTATTGATAGTGTATCATTTTTGTTTAGCTTATATTGGGACCACAACCTGCTTTAAGCGGAAACAACGAACTACCTGCCATTACTGCGGTCCCGGCTGTGGATTATTTTACACCGGAAGTGTATTGGTCCCAAACAGAAACAACAGTGGCGTTGAGCATCAAACTTATAGACTGTCAAGATTATAATATATCGCTGAAAATGAGAAATATGTTCAATTTTAGGTAAGTTGATATTAATATTAGCGCCTAGATATGTGAAGGCTTGCTTCACACTATAAATTACTAACTTACATCTTTTGGACTCTCTTAATATTGCCATAGACTGCGTTTTCTGGACGGAGATAATCATATTTTATTCTTTTACTACTATTTCAAGCCAGTATGGTACCCTCTGTAGATCGGATAAATAATCCAGTTGATCTGAGACATTGATTATTGACTCGTGTCTATTAACGCATCCATACGCATTGGTCCAGATCTTCAAAAAAGTAATTTTTAAATATTTAAATAAAATTTCAAGTAGTTTTTAAAATTGTACAGTTAAATATTTACACATATTAATAAAACACCCTGAATATAAGGCCCGGCGCAAATTGAGCACAGCCCACGCACATCCTACGCGCAGCCACTCATGGGTTATTTTGTAAAACGTGGTTTTAGACGGAGCGACGCATATTAAACCCAAACCACGGCCAGGCTACTGCCAGACTTGGTTGGCGTGGATAGAGTTGTGCTAGCAACACAGTTTCGTGGGTCTTGGGTCTCTACCTAACCTTAGTTATTTTGTTTTGTGTGACCAATTTTTTGTTATTCAGTGAAAATGGAAAAGTTTATTGAAATTGTTCGAAGCTTTAGTGTCTTGTATGATACTAGTAATGAAGATTACATGAGAACAAAACTAATATTTTCTTTATTTGTGCTAAGCGACTCGGATGTAAGTCGCCGTTATTCGCTCCGTGCGTGATCATGGTAGGGGTACATTGAAACGATGCCAGCGTGCGCAGCGGCGAAATATGACAAAATTGGAATATTGGACAAAATATTTTTACGCATAAGTTTTATCAAAAATGTGTGCAAATACATGTTGCGTATTTAATTCTGCTAATAATAGCAAAAACAGTGAGTGTAGTTTTTATAGGTTCTCAAAGATTACATATAAATTAGAGAAAAGAAAAAGATGAATTCGTGCTATTAATATGAAAAAGTAAATATCACATAATTTCATTTTTATGCAATTGAAATAGGAACAATTTAAATAATTTACCTTGAATGATATTTCATAAGGCTTCAAGCTAACTGCAGATGACTTTAGCTTTTATATCATAGCTTTTACTATTATTGTTTTTAATTATATGCTCTTTTGCGTGAAAAACTTGATTTGCCAGTACTAGATTTTTCGCTTTCTTTTCCGTTTGGAGTTAAAAAGATATATTATGATGAATTTTGAGAAACTCAGTTTTTAATACTACATTTATTTTGTACATAAACTGAAAAAATATAGTTAATAAACTAATTTATTAATAATTGTCAATTTCGCATGTATTTAACAATGTCAAAAATATGTCATATATTTAACCTGAAAATTGGGACTCCAAAATTGTCAGATGAAGGTGGTAGGTGTCGCATCAGTCACGCACGGAGCGAATAATTATTAAAAAAAATTGATTTAAATAAATTTTTTATTAAATCAAATGAGAAATATAACAAATCGAGAACTAAGAAAAAAAAACAAATTTTCATTTCCCAGCAAAATGTTTATGAACACCTAAGATGAAAACTTCAAAATAAAATTTGATGGTACTTTTTCGTGATGCTCATATTGTAATGGCTTTTATACACTGAAATTAAATTAAAAAAGAACATGAAGAAAGTAGAAAAATAATAAAAAATTCTCAAATTTAAATTTATCTCGAAAACAAAATACGATCTGGAATTTTTGTATTTTTTTAGCTCTTCTATTGTTTATTACGTTATTTTACTTATTTCAACAATACTCTGTATATTATTTTGTTAGAGGATTCCAACTTAGTACTCTCAGCATTGTAAAAGTTTCCAAGAAATTAATATCCGATGGAGTTTTTAAAACAAGCGAAATGAAAGTCGGAATTTTCAACGGCATTGTGGCCAGTTACAATATCTGCCTGTTATGCTAATTAGTAATTAGAAAGTCAATATCGGCAAAACCAGCTTATTCAAATTATGGGTATCTACCTGTTATAGTCTTTTGTTGAAGGATTTCAATTTTTTACCCTTAGCATATGTAAAAGTTCTCAAGAAATTAATATCAGGTTCAGTTTTCAATGAAACAAAAATCTAATCTTTAATATCTGCTTATTATGCTAATTAGTAATAAGAGAGTCAAATCGCCAAAAGCAGCTTATTCAAATTATATCTATAGTATTTTTTTGAAGGATTTCAATTTTTTAACCTTAGCATTTGTGAAAGTTTTCAAGATATTTATATTTCAGATTAGAAATTGTTAGTGGGATATTAGGTAAAAATTAAAAGGTCTAGAAAATAAAATCTTTATTTAAATTAATATACTGAAGACAGTCTATCTTTTCGTTGAATGGTATTTGCGAAAACAATCTCCTATGCATAGTCCAGGTTTTTCGTCACAATCAGCACACTCGTAAAATGTGTTTTTCCTAATGTTATGGATAGAACATATTCTACACAAATATTTGACATGGGCGTGGACTGTGTTCAATATGCGTTAGTATTGAAAAACGTGTACTTGGACTAGGTTGGACCATACGTGGGCTGCGCGTGGGATGTGCGTGGGCTGTGCTCAATTTGCGCCGGGCCTAAATCCCAATAATGTTATAGCCACACTTCGTACTATAATAATTATTGTAGTTGATTATATGATTTTTTTTTCAGTGCAACCCAAGGCGAAAAAACTTACTCCCTCAAACTAATGTTCTTCGATTATGTTCACAAAATGGAGCATATGTCCACAGGTCCAGAAGTGAGAGTGACTTTGACGAAATTTAACAACGTCGATTGGCCCAGGTTGACTATGTCGAAGCAGAAGGCTAGGAATATACACTATGACATCAATAAGGTATCTATAGATGACGACGACGATAAACCTAAAAAAATTCTGGAATTTCCCAAAGAATTCGACGAAATGTTGGATGATTTGAACGAAAATGACCCTATGTATATGGAATACTCTGATTTGGATAGTGATATGGATCTTGAAATTGAAAATGAATCTGATTGAAGCTATTTCGAATATATATGTATATAATTACTATTTTAATGGGAATAAGCCACAATTGAAGTTTAAAATAAGTTTATTGACGTTTCAATAATTTTGTATTAATGTTTGTATTTTGTTAGCGATTTACCATTTATAAATAAACTTATTTTAAACTTCAATTGTTGCCTATTCCCATTAAAATAGTAATTACTTTAAGATGCCACAATAAAATAGGTTCAGATCTGTATATAATATTTAGGTCAGATTTACTTTTTGTAAGTTTTGTTAGGTTAGATTCGCCCTTTTAATTTTGGCACACCCAAAGTGTGTCAAAAGTCCAACTTCTTATTATATTAAGAACGATTGATTTATATTACTGTATTAACTTTCATTCAGATATTAGATAGTAACTATTGTACTAGGAGGCATATTGACTAGATCGTTTTATTCGATCTACACTTTTTTTTAGGTTATGCTAGGTTAGATTCTCTTTTTTAATTTTGACACACTTCATTGAAGGACCAAGTTCTTTGGCCATTACATTAAGAACTGATTTTAAAACAAAATGTATTATGTTTTCTTTTTACCTTCGAACTGTGATAAATCAAATTACAAGGTTAGGATACTCTTTTATTTTTATAATATCTATCTTTGCTTTTGAGCACTATCCGGATTTCATGCTTTCGAGTTAAAACGATTTTAACAGACAGAATTCTTGAAAGTCTTTGATCTCTTATCTATAATTTTGGTGACCCATTGATACCAAACGGAAGAGCATTATTTCTTGTACTAAGAGGGGAACCTACGTACCAAATTTCAAGACTAGAACTTTTCCTTCAAGAGTTATATACCCAGACTGGCAGACAACCTGACATACAGATGACACGATGTTAAAAAAAGGCCTTGTACTTAATACTAAAGTAAAATACACTATTCCAATAGTAATATTTTCATTAATTGCCATTTAAACTATATACATATGTCCTTATTATTGACAAATACTGACGTGGTTCTGAATTGCCAGTTCTGCCTAACCTAATTTTTAAAAAAGACTGGGTCTAAAAATGCTGTACGTTTGACAGCAAATTTGACACATCGTCTGTTTCTGTCGCAATGTTAGGATATCGTCATTGTAATTAACATTCCTCGTAACCACAGAATGACAAACTTCTCATATGCGAGTTTAAATATCATTGTTTAGCTAGCAACATAGAGGTCCTCATAGAGGCTTCATATCGGGACAGTTTGGGAGTCTTACATTGCCAGAAGTGAATTCCGTTTAAAACTTAAACATATATATTATCTTGATATAAGGTTGAATGCTCCAATAAATGAACTTTGATCAAATGAACGGCAGATATCGAGCACAGTTTTATTAATTAAATCTTGCCCAAGTACTTGGGGAAGGGAAGCAAAAGTACTTCAATTAAAGTAATTCAAGTAAACAATGTATTTTCAAACTAATTTAACATCATTTAAAGGATTTTTACCCGTATATTTAGTGGATTTACACATGTTTACCTTGTAAAAGCACCAATGATGGAATATTAATTCCGAAAACGTTTTGTAATGTAGCCTGAAATGGTTCTTTTAGATTATTATACCTTTTATAAAGGATTTCTTAAATAAAAGAGGAACAATGGTATAGTCTGCTGGTACGTTGATCCTTCTATTTTGTAGCCTTCGGTCCTTCTACCATCTGAATATGCGCAACCTCCAAGTATTTTTGTGCAATGACAACGCTCTTACTGCAAGATATTTGTAATAGGACGTTGAAAACATCACAACTTTTTTTGATAGGTGTTACGTTTTGAACATACCTCAATATAACAATTGCGGTTATCAGAAAGAGGGAGAGAATGTATTCTGTTCAATCCAGAACTGGCTGGTTTTCCCCTTTAGCATTGGGTATGTATATTAAAATAAAAGAAATGAAAGTCAGACGACTGTATAAAACTCTATTAAAAAAAAAAAAAGAAGTAAAAGAAAACATAAATATACATAACTAAACACACAATTATAACTAAAGAAAAATATACAAACTTAAATATTAGTTAATATGAAACAACACCAAAAAGATAACCATTTAAGGGATGGAATACTAATGGATCAAACAAAGCGATAACTAATGTATTAAAAAAATAAAGACAAATTAATAATATTACAAAAAAACAACCTAATTACGGATATATATGTAAACGTTGTAAAAACAAATAATAAATGCGGTGCATACAAATAGTTAATACAATTTTCAATACAAGACACACATGAAATATAATCGGTGTTAACAGAATACAATATAGAATACAGTAAATACGCTAAAATAAATGTTTATATATACGTAAAATGTTCTTTTGACAATGTTCAATCGCAATCGCGGCACAAATGCGATAAAGTTCCAAACAAATATCAAATAAATATACCAAGTGCGCGAACTTGATATATACAGCAACATAGATAAATGGTGTATTGTACCTTACCCAATAAAAAGATAGCACCCCCGCTATCGCAAACGTCTTCAGCGACGTACACAGGAACTACAAATTTGACGTCTCTCGGTGGCCAGACCGATACGAAGTGTCACAGGTACCTTTAACCCATACACAACTGTATGGTTTGAAAGATAAAACTCGACTCTGATTTTGTAGATTCTACGACCTTATCACACACACACACACGTCTGGTGATATTTCGCAGATTTCTTAAAATCGCTGTACCCTTGTTCACGTTTTAATATACTAACCTGAGAATCAAAACTAATAAAAAGTCTTAATATTTTATAAATGTTTATCTATCGTTGCGAAACTGCAACAATAGGCACAATGATAACTGGAGAATGCATATTTTTTTCTTATCTTCTTATAAATGAGAAATAATGCTAGCAAAGCCATTAGATGTTAAAATCTCTTCTATATAATGCCAAAGGAAACAGTGCCCATCGTTAGTTTTTAAATAAAAAATAATGTAAAATGATGTAGAGCTAGCTTGGATTGTTATAATACGTAGTAGACACTGTAGATTTTGGAGCAATGGGTAGGGCTTGAAGATCCATTGTAAATGTAAGGCATTGCGTAATATATAGGCTTCGTAGTTACTTATATTCAAATTTCCACACTTGTAAGACTCACATTTATACTCCATTCGCTTAGCTCGGGCATATTTTGACAGATTCATTGTCGGAAACCTACAACACAACAATTCCTACTTCTCAGTAATAATAGTTCAAGTATACTACTATTGCAAACTTTTTCTGCGAAAAAAGAAGAATTATTCTAAATAGTAGAAGTGTATACTAAACCCATCAAATTTTGGGTAGTATATATTTAAAAAATATATTTTAGTTGTTATAATTTAATATAACCATTTATTATATGGTACAAATAAATAAATATTGATTGTCGGTAATTCGCAAAGTTTTATTTTATGTACTATTTAGTTTGTTTACTATTAATATTGGCTATGAGTACGTGTGCTTGGCTGTATAATAATTTCCAGCCACTTTTAGTCTGCCAAAAAGTAACTAACTTCTCAAAAAAATAATTACTAAATTCACTAGACAGTTCGGACTGCTAATAGCGAACCGAGTATATCACATAGATCCTCATGGGGTTTAAACAAACCTAAATTTTAGTCGTAGAAAATTTGAGAAGACTAGCATTGAGATCAACATTATTCTACGAACACCAGTCTTCTACATAAAACAAGTAGAGCTGTCTTTTAAAATTCCAGCCTGTTTTCTTTATATGCTGAGTAAAGAAGCCTAAAGCATTTCACCTTCTTTTGATTTTCTTATCTTCCTACGTAGTAGACCAGACTTCTTTTTAATGTCATTTAAGTTATTGTCCATTTTTTCTGTCATACTTGCTTCCCAGTCTTTGTCTTTATTCATCCAGTTCAAAGCTGTCCACTCGCCATGATAAAAGTATGTAAAAACTGTTATAACAGATGTCCCTTTTTTCAAACGATATTAATAAGACCAATTCCTTCTGCGATGTTCACTTTCTTTCCTATTTCTAGCTAAGTTTGTGTCTTCTTGGTGATAAATTTGACATACCTCATGGCCCCCCTCTCATGTGTTCCAAAATGCATAAAAATTCTTTGTCTATCCTGTTCATTTAATAATGCACATTGCACAAAAAATATTATTTATATTGAGCAACATTATTTGCTTACAAAAATAAAGGCATTTTCACATCTAGTTGAGTATTTCAAGATTGTAAGAATCTAAAATTACCTACTGATTTCTACAATATAAATAACCTAGGCCTATCCATAAATACTAGTCCGCTAACCTATCAATATGCACAAAGAAACTTGATAACTCAAAGTTTCAAAAAATTAAGTAATTTATAAGTAATGAATTTATTAACAGCTAAACTAAATTACAATTTGATGAATTTAATGTAGTGTAAGATGTAGAGCCTCAGAAACTATTTTAACTTAGTAAATAACTGACAGCAGTGAAAGGGCACAATCCATCGAGCAAAAATACAGAAAAAAGAGGGAATGTAAAGGTAGTGGGGGCAAAAAGATTGTTAGACGGGAAGTGCCATTTTGAAAGGCCACATTAAACAAGGAAAGAGTCTCTCTTTGTTTAAGAAATCAAATTTAGTTGGGTTATGTTATTGTTTGTCACATGAAATCTTATTTATATTGAAGTTTTTTAACAATTATGTCACATTTTAGACTATTATCGTTAATATTTAATTAAAACTGTCTCGTCTAAGACACATTCTGAAAACTATTTTATAGCTACTGTTAATAAGTGTCCGAAAATTTAAATTTGGCGCCTTTGCATTTCCGGATATGTCCGCCATATTAAGAGGCCACTTTGATGAATTTTCGTCTCCATTTCATAACGATTAAACTCCCGCTTTTGTTTTTTTGTTCGATGGCACAATCGCGTGTTGACATGGCAATGAAAACTGATGGAGTTACCAGAGTTGCCAATTCAAAGATACTGGAGTCAAGAACTCTGAAGGACTGAATGAATAATTTTCATACAAGTTTGTATAATAATATCACATTTACAAAAAATGAAGTTACGAGTAATGCTCATTACAATGACGATATATAATTTAAAGACTATCGCAGACGTTCTCCCTATCCGCAATTATCAGTAACTTTAGGTTTATTGATCCTGGCTAGGGTGCTTCCTTGGAAGACAGATAATTTTAATATGGATTTATATATGACAGGAGGTGCAAGCAAGCGTATAGATAAGATTAATCTTAAATTGTTTATAGAATTAATTTTTATATTTATTATACATTTAGTTCAATTTCACAGCTTGTTAGTCATGCAATAAGAGTTACAATATAGTCAACTTTTACAGGTTTATTATGTAGAGTCAATAATGTATTATGCAAACACTTATTTTTACATTTACAAGTTAAGTTTATGAGGTT